AGGTACAAATGTCTTGTTGGCCGAGTGGTTGCAAGTGCGACTGCCGGGCAATGGGTCTTCGGTTCGATTCCCGGGTCCGGCAAAAGTATTATTGGGTCTTTTAAGAAAACTCAGTAGTAGGATGGCGTCTGGAATTGTGCCTGGTATATGGCAATAGACTCACCCCCTATTACATAGGACTCGTAACTTAAATAGTGAAAAGTGGGTGTTACATCGTACAACGGCATTAAGTGTCGTAATGTGCACCTCTGCCTACTACTTCGGGGATAAAAGGCCTGATGTTTTAGTCACAAATGGTATCATACTAACCTCTACATACTCGCGCAGAACAACGTTGTAAATAGCAGATGTTAAACACGGATGGTAGACAAACGGACACTTGGGTGATGAGTTGATAAAGAACCACGATAACTAGAATCATGAGAAGGCGGCATTTTTGTAGCATTATTTAGAGGGAGAAAATCATCCAACGACATCTCTTGCCTTGGGTGAGGCGAGAGGGAGTGTCAGACTCTTACTGACTAAACACCACCCTGTTCATACTCATGCACTTCGAGCCGGAGTCCCGGCAACCCCTCAGGTCTTTTGCAGCTACGGATTGGCTATCAAATGATGTGATATGTGGTATTGGCGGTTTAATGGCTCTTTGAGATGTGGCTTAGACCATGTAATTTGTGTTATTTATACAATTGGTGAAAAGTGCCCGCACATTCCACTGAATAAATTTACATCTGTCTACTATTAAATGAGCAAAATATAGTGTACCTATTTATTTCAATTAAACCATAGTATGGTACTTTTGAAACGTCAACAAATATAAAATGAATAATAGTCTGTTAGTATGTCCGTCAGTGAAGCTCGGCGCTCGTTCCAAAATGTAAATTCGGGTGGAGAAGAACGAGCAAGAAACTCCAATCGTTACTCAGTTTTAAAAAAGTATGTTCTACAATGTCTCTGATACATATACCAATACTGTATGTAAGACACGCTTGACGCATTATACAAATTACAGAACTTACTAAAATAAAGAGAAAAGAATTATCTTCTAGTCTACCGTGGTGCTCACATGCTTCGATACAAGAAAATAAAACCTTGTTTCAACTTATGTCTCCTCATATTATGACTCCCATCAATACATTCCACATTCTCACGGTCAATCAAGATCAAGCACCTTCGGAAACTTCCATCCTTCCCAAGAGTTTTGCACCAATTTCACGTCTCACTGCACAACCAAAGTAAATCGCTGTTCCAAACGATTTTATACGAAAACTTCTACCTAAGGCTACGTTAAAAGTTTTGTATTTTGTTATAATAAACCCTAGTTCAAGTTCTGTGTTGTTTTCTATAGAGAAATTCACTTTCTTTCCTACGCTGGCGCTGTATGGTTCATTGGGCTAATGTGCTTCGAGTTTTGATTTCGTGTTTACGTTTTCCAATTTCTGTTTCAAAGGTCAAGATGTCGTTGTTTCTAAGTTTTTGTTTGTGATGTTCCAGTTGTTTTTGAGAACTATTCGTTTGTTTTTGTATTGTTGGCTGTCTAGTTGATTTAGTTCGTCTCATGCCGTTTAGACAACAAATGGTAATAATGGACTGCCTCGTTGGCCGAGTGGTCGCAAGTAAGACTGTCGGGCAAGGGGACTCGGGTTCGGGTAAAGTATTACTGGGGTTTTACAAATCTCAGTAGTAGTCTCGGAGTCTTGATATGTGCCCGGTATATGACAATAGACTCACCCCTACTACATGGGACTCGTAACATAATAGTGAAAAGTGGGTGTTACGTTGTACAGAGGCATTAAGTGCCGAAATTGCACCTCTGTCTACCCCTTTAGGGATAAAAAGGGTGTTATGTTATGTTATGGTAATAATTCAAGCATCCTGTGTCGGATATATTCTTGCGTTTTAGGTTCTCTATGGGGATTGGTATATACTGGGTCATGGCGTAAATAACAATACTCTTACTCTTTAATTATAAGGCATTAATAATATAACTAGATGAATAACCATTCCAGTAGTGAATTGACGCAGGGTATTTATTTATTCTTTTATGTACACAAAGCACCGCTAATTAGTTCGTAACGCTCACATCGACACTACTGTCATTTACACAATGTACATGTGTGGGTAATTTCATATTACTGTGTATAAAAATATTCGTCCACCACGTTCACATTGGTATTTTCATTCTTGTGTCGGTATACGTATTTTTATAATTTAATGCATGGGTAAGGTTAAAACTATTTACAATCATTGATATGACCCGACATTTTCACTGTAATTATCGTAGTGCTCGTGGTCGATTGGTTAATGAGTACGCTTTTATCGTCTTTCAAGGATCAATGATGATGTGGGTTCTATTCCAGCTAAAAGTTTTTTTTTATTTTACCTTGTTGTTTTTCTTATTTATTTTTTTTTTGTTTTTTGTCATATAATATAAATATCAGGCTATAAAAGAAGCAAATCAGTCGGTAAATAAAACAATACTATTTTTTATTAAAATTAATTTATTAATTATACAAATATGTGGTTTTATATTCAATATTTATATCTAATAATTAATTATATACCACATGTTAACTTTAAAGTTCTTCCAATCATTCTAAATTATTCTAAATAATAAATAACTAGAACTAAAATATAAATAAAGGATATTATAGGTATAAATAAATCTAAAGTATTTACTATTAAAATTAACATAAGATTTAGAAAAATAGGATAGGAAAAAAAGAAAAGATTTAATTGTTTCTAATTTCACATTTCAAATATTTGATTAATTAATACTAAAACAACATGTGAATGCTGGAATCGATCCGGTGGCACTTTACTTGACCACTGGAGGCGATAACCATTGCGCCAAGCGCGCCGTAGATGAGAACATCGAAATATTGTATATCATTCAGTAACATAAAAATACAATGAGAATGCACTATATTTATATAAGTATTGTATTGCTCGATCGTTCATTATTTTTGATTTCGATTTATTCAAAGTTTGTTATGAGTATTTTTATCTTTACCCTCGTTTTTATTTAAACTTATTTACTAAAATATTACGTATACCGACACAAAAATGATATGTAATACCAAGATGTGTGTGATAGAACGAATGTTTCTATACATATCTATTAATATGAAATTACCCACACATGTTCACTGTGTAAATGATAGTAATGTCGATGTGTAGCGCCTCGAACTAATTAGCGGTGCTTTGTGTACATAAGGGGGCATGAGGCAACAAAACGCTGCCTCCTCATAACCTAGCCGTCGCGAAGAGCCACTCCGGACGTCGGGTACCGCGAGACGATCTCCGGCCATCGTAAACGCGGGCCTGCGGACGGCGAGCATGGGTAGCTCGCCGCCCGACCAGAACCAGACCCGAGCGTGCGGCGCGTAGCGTTCCGCGCGCGCCTCAAAGAGCCATCAGACCACCATAGATTGGGCCCAGCTCCGGCTCGACGTGCAGGAGTAGGAACGGGATGATTTTTAGCCAGTAAGAGTCTGACACTCCCTCTCGCCTTACCCGGGCGGGAGCAGACATTCGATGATTTTCCCCCCTTAAATTTTTTTTATCTAGGTATGTTCCAAATTTCAATACGATCTCATGTTATGAGTAACATTGAGTCAAGAGTAACAAACATACAAATTATTTGATGTATAGTAGGTGGTCAAGCTAATTTCGACCATCGACCCTACAGTTACAGCCTAAGGTCTACAGCGGGCAACCTAACATTCGACAAAGTTATCTTTGGGTTTGGCATAGTGACTGTGTCTAGGGATCGAGCCGCACAATGGGGATGATGACAGGGTATGAAAATTAAAAATCTAATTAGTCCGTAAGGTAGGTAATTAAAAAATATTAGACACGTATTTTTTTATTTTGTCATATAATAAAACAATACTTAGATAAAACGAATCAAAGTTTAGGAGTGGGGGCTAAAACGTCATTTCTTAGTATAAAATGTACTGAGAAGTGACGTCACGCGACATTTCAAACCAATATATCTTCGAAACTATTCGTTTCCGTAAGAAAATAAAAAATACGTGTCCAATGTTTTTAAATAATCTACCAGACGGATATTAAAATAAAAATTAGTCGTCTACCCTATTGAAGTTACACATGTCCGTATTCGTCTATGTATCCATCATTGAGACGTTAAAGAAAGTCAAATACACTTTCGAATGAAGTCATTTGTAAGGATAGTTTTCGTTGCGGTCTTAAACACTGGTCAAAGATATATGAAGGTGTTATCAATACTGAATTTGCTTGGCAAATGAAATGGCAAAATGGAAAATGAAACAATGTAATAGTGTTCTAACATTTAATATTTTCGAAATTTTATTTCTATAGTAAATCGAGGATTTACATAATTATTATTATTATATTAAAAAATAAACATTAAATAATCAGTCTTTTTGAAGATAATTAAGTTTCAATTTTTATTATTTTTACGATTTTTTTTTCTACTACAAAAAACAAACAACAAACACGGCAGCATTTTATATTTTTCGGTAAATCATAATTTAGAGAAAGGTACTAGGTTTCTTTATAAAAATGGTTGAGTACCTAAATATCTTTATTTAATTTATTTAATTGATTTTTATTTCAGATAAAAACTATAAAATAAGTGTTAGTTATATAATAATAAAAAAACATTCCTAGTTTATACATTTTTCATTAAACTTTATTTTTTTATAAAAACTTACACAGTACAAAACAATTAAACAAACATTTTTATAAAATGGATTTTAAAATAAATTAAAACCTTTTAAATTGTTAAAATATGGTAGAGTGAGATCAAAAACGTTGACTAGATTTAATTATTTATATAACAAATCTATTTTTATTATATATTATTGACTGTAACAGTTCAAGTTAGTAGCAGTTAGTAAAATATACACAGACTATAAATAATCGTAATTTATTTAAAAAAAACTACATAAATATAGTCATTTAACTCCAAAAAGTATTTCAAAATAAAAAAAAACTAATAGTGTGTGCTATAATCACATTCTCAACTTAAATTTTATTAAAACAAAATTATAATCAAGTAAAAAATAAATACTCAATTATGACATTGAACACTCAATCAACACTCAGTTATGCAAGTGATTGCATAACAAAGGTACTACATTAAAATTGAATAACGATCATTATTTTACAAACTGCTACTTAGCTAATACAAGTTGTTAATAATTCTCATAAACTACTATTTCAAAGTGATATAAATAAATGAATACAACCTTAATTTATGTGACACAATGTAAGTTGTTATGTTGATATGAACACAACCATTATAAAAATTGTCTACTACGCATTATCTACTATCCTGTTATTTTCTCAGCTACCTGTGATGTGGGACTCTGCAGGCTTCTGAAAAAAATACATAACCATTTATTAATGATATTAAGTGGTCACTATTCATAGCCTAATTATCTACACTTCCAACAACAAAGGCATCATAAGAATGTTCAAGGCTATGGAAGAATTTAGCCTTTAAAAAAAATTAAGATGCAGGTAAGACGGGTCTACGCTAAGTACTCAATTCTGTCTATACAATTTAAAATAACAAACGTAATTTTGTGTATTAATAATTATTGTATACTAATGCCATCTATCGATAGGCTCTAGTTTTAAACTGTAGACCATTCAGTAGTGTTTCACTTTCAGGGACCAAGATAACTTAGTTTTTGCTCTCACCGATAGGTGGCACTAGCACACATTTTAGAAGCAAACTGTACTGTGGGTTTTGTGGCAAAACTGTGAAATAATGTTTATGTGATACTTTAGTTTTGTTTTTAAATAACAATAATTAATAGTTGTAGTCTTACTTCTTGGTACACTTTTCAATGTAGTTGTTCGCGACACGCAGTCACTCTCTTCGGACTCGGATCGCATTTGAAAACTTGTCTCTGAAAATAATATCATCAGATATAATGTATCATCTATACTCAACCTTATCAGTTTGGTAATAACCAAATGTTAGGTAAATTAGACTAGTAGAATGCATGTGTGTCAGCTTGGAGTTGTCATGCTCACTCAAAGGTCTCATTGGCAGTGGCGCGTGCATTGGATCGCTCGATTCCCTACAATATGGTTGAGTTGGGCGGTGCTGGTGTACGTGTCATGTTCGTGAACGGGCGCCGTCAACTGGGACTGGTCAGCTCCAGACTGTATTGTTTACTACCCTTAAGGTTATTTTCGTTTTCAATATCTTTATCTGGTGTTACATTTTGGTGTTACATTGTTCTCGCACAATCGAACCAACTAAACTATGTACCTAGAGAAATGTATTGTGAACCTGATTGAAAAAGAGTAACCTATGGAGTTTCTTGCTCGTTCTTCTCCATAGGAACCTACATCTTGGAATGAGCAAATAGATTCACTCTCAAATTTTTGTCGACGTTCAAAAGTGTCGACCTAATTTAATTGAAATAAATGATATTGACTTGCGACTTTGACTATGACCAGTCCAGATAAGTAAATAGTTATATTTACATTACAGAATAAGGCGTGTTCAGCATAAGTCTGACCTACAGGATCAAATTGTTCATGTATTTTGAAATGCACTTACCACTATCGTATCTTGATTTGCTATTACCGGGTAGATGAACTCTATTCGGCACTTCTTGATTGTCAACATGACCGAACGTTCGAAATCCTATCGCAAATTGTGCGTATGGACTTATCTCGTACAATTCTGTAAATAGAAAAGTTGTATACATAAGTTACGGTTTTATCTTTCACTATACTATTATCATATTCTAAAATTTTGCTGATGTCAGTTGACAAAGTGAAAACAACTAAATTACATGCACTTTCTTTATTATATTCAATCCTTTATCGACTTTGCTAAGTGTGAGAGAGCCATGCTTCGGCATGAGTGGGCCGTCTCAACCGGAGTGATACCACGGTCAAACAGAAAACCGACGTGAAACAACGCTTGCGTTAGGTTACGTCGTGTGAGGACCAATTACCCTCTCCCGTAGGGGAAGGGGGTTGATCCCTGAATCCCCACCAAAGGTCGTATACCCTCCCCCTCTCCTCAATCCCTGAACCCCCAATAATCTTCTAATTCCTAAGGCCCAAAAGGCCAGTAAGGCACTTGTAACGCCACTGGTGTTCCAGGTGTCCATGGGCGACGCTGATTGCTTACCATCAGGTGATCCGTCTGCTCGTTTTCTGGCTTATTCAATAAAAAAGGCTTTTGTAGCACATTCTCGGGTTATTATACAGAGATATCTTTACAACACGAATTTTTATCTTCGCAAAAAACTTTTAGATTACTACAAAGTCATCTAAAGGTTTTTTGCGAACAAACAAACAAACATTAATCTATGTTCTAAGCCAAAACGCATTACAAAACCAACATTAACATACATAATACTACAGTTTAATAAACTTACCATGTTTATTCTCAGCAGTAAGATGTACAGGTGTACTGTAGACTCTATTACTCATGTCAGTAGGCACACTTTGCGGTGTGTTCACTGTCATATTACTGCGCTCTGACTTACATTCTGCTGTCAGAGAATTTCTGTATTCTGTTAGATGCTGGTGACTGGAAGATAATAACGTAGTTAGTTATTGGGAGTATTCATATGAGAAGCGAAAGAATTTTATCTGAATAGGGTAGTTCACTAAATGTTATTCTAATGTCCGTCTGGTAGATTATTTTAAGACATTAGACATGTATTTTTTCTTTTCGCACAAAATTAAATACTTTCGACGATAAGTTGATTTGAAATGTCGTATGACGTCACAGCGTCCTACAAAATGTAGCACAAATGACAACTACGTATTTGAGACTCGGTAGCCAAAGAGAGAAAAAAAGGAGCCAACAAAAATCTTACTTGTGCCTCTTGACTAGTATGTAAACGCAAGTCAGCGAACAGATCATAAGAAGTATAGAACTGCAGATGATCACCAGCATGTTCAAATCGAAAAAGTCCGATGGTGGTCCCACTGATTCTGGAACAATAAAGGAAAATTGAGAAATTTTAGAATTTGGTCAATAGTTCTTTTTTATCTGCCTCGTTGGCCGAGTGGTCGTAAGTGCGACTGCCGGGCAAGGAGTCTTGAGTTCGATTCCCGGGTCGAGCAAAGTATTACTTTTAAAAAAATTCTCAGTAGTAGCACGGAGTCTGAAATTGTGCCCGGTATATGGCAATAGGCTCACCCCCTATTACATGGGACTCTCATAAATAGTGAAAACTGAGTGTTACATTGTACAGTGGTATAATGTGCACCTCTGCCTACCCCTTCTGGGATAAAAGGCGTGATGTTGTTATGTTTTTTTTATATACATATATATTATATTTGATGGGACTGACGTTTGACCACTATCTCGCCTGGAGGTAAGCGATGAGGTCTACGATGGATCACGTCGACCCATAAGCAACCTATTCACTCGGGCCTTGAAGACACCCAGGTATAACCCTTATACTATGTACAAAATAGCATACATAACATCATGCCTTTTATCCCCGAAGCGGTAGGCAGAGGTGCACATTGCGGCACCTAATGCCAATGTACAATGTCCCACTTGTCACTATTTATGTTACGAGTCCCATGTAATAGTGGGCGAGCCTATTGCCACATACCGGGCACAGTTCCAAACTCCCTGCTACTATTAAGAATGTTTTTACACTTTTTTTTAGCCCGACCCGGAAATCGAGAAACCCCTTGCGACCACTCGGCCAACGAGACAGTATAAAATACCATAAGCAAAGAAATCTTTACTAAATACATTGCCATACCTCCTTGCACAGTAGTGGTTGCATAACTATACATAGACGTGGAGATACCAGCAGCATTTTCAGCAGTGACCCTGACATGGTACCACTGGGCTGGGACCAGCTCCGCTAGTACGAATGAGTTTGGCTGAGCGAGGATTGAAGAGGGCACGTAGTGGCTCCATGCTTGGTCTATTGAAGGCTGCAAAGAGAAATAAATTGAATTACATTTTTAATTTTCATATACTGTCTACCCTATTGAGACGAGACAACTATTGCTTGTTTTTTAATTTAATTCCAATTTAAATTGGATTATAGAGTAAATCCTTTAGAAAGTATAAGTCCAGATTTCCTCACAATGTTTTCCTTCACCGTTTGTCTGTGGTGTCTGAATAATCTCAGAATGTACATATAACACGGAAAAAGTCACATTGGTGCTTGCCGTCGGTAGGTTTCGAGCCCGCACCCTCATGCATGAAAAGCGGGCGTCTTAAACTCCGGACCACCACGACACCGAGTTGTTAGATTGTAAAAAAACTCAATTCCATGTTTTAGGAAGTCCCTATGTGTTCTCTGTGAAGGTTCTAAGAGCTATTAACATAAATATTTCTTCAATAGAATGAGCACACTCTGTAGATACTTACAAGTCTATTTTCAGCCTTCTTCCACGTCTTGCTGCCAAACTCCTTGTATTCCACTTCAAACCTGGTGATCTCGCATCCATTGTCATCCCACCCACTCAGCTGAATGTAAATGTGTGTGGCGTTACTCCAGAACCACTCGGTGCTGGTTGGTGATATTGGTACTAGAATTTAAATTGGAATTAAATTAAAAAACAAGCAATAGTTGTCTCGTCTCAATAGGGTAGACAGTATATGAAAATTAAAAATGTAATTAGTCTGTCAGTTAGATAATGAAAAAATATTAGACACGCATATTTTTTTATTTAATCGTATAAGAAAACAATACTTAAATCAAACGGAGTTAAGTTTAGGAGTGGGAGGTCATTACTTTACGCTATCCTCTAATCTAAATTGTAGTAAATCGTGACGTCACATGATATTTCAAATGAAAATATCGACAATTTTTTCACTTTTGTACGAAAAGAAAAAAATACATGTGTAATGTTTTAATATAATCAACCAGACGGATATTAAAATAAAATTTAGTATACTACCCTATTAAAAATAATCGTGTGCGGTATATAATAAGTTTACAAATAATTTTAGTCATATTAGTTACATGGAATGGGTCCAAATGATACTATGGTTTCACAAGAAACTGTTGTAAATCAACTCATTTGTAGGTCTCTTTTTTTTTAAGGGGGGAAAATCATCCAATGACTGCTACCGCCTGGGTGAGGCGGGAGGGAGTGTCAGACTCTTACTGACTAAAAACCACTCCGTTCCTTCTCCTGCACGTCGAGCCGGAGCCCCGGTTACCCGTTAGGTTGTCCGCGACTCCGAATCGGCAACAGCCGTATTGGGCCCCATCCGTGGTGGTCTGATGGCTCTTTGAGGCGCGCGCGGAACGCGACGCGCCGTACGCTCGGATTTGTAGGTCTCTAGAGGTTCCTCTCTCTACATCGCAAAAAGTCAAAAACGTCCATGTAAATCCTCTAGAGTTAAACGGTTAAGTCTATGGGTGGTCCAGCATAATCAGTTACCATCAGGTGATCTGTGAAATAGTTAGGTTTCTACTAAGCTAAAATTAATTTATGGAACCCACCTCCTCCCAAAGTATTAGCATCCATATAAGAAGGTTGCGAGGACCCCACACTGTTAGCTGCAGTCATCCTCAAGGAGTATTTGGTTCCACATTTTAAACCCTGTAGAGTATACTCCTGAGTTCCTTGAAGAGAAGTTCCCTTGCTTGACCATGCGTCTTGCCAAGAACCGTTCGCTTCTTTCCAAGTGAGATTGTAACCTGGAATCGGTAGAAAGAGAGGTTGAATTTCTGTTGGCTAATGAATATGTAGGCATTTCTTTTTTTTATGGCATAAGCTGGTAAACGACCGCCGGCATCGCCCATGGACACCTGGAACACCAGAGGCGTTACAAGTGCCTTACCGGCCTTTTGGGGATTAGGAGTTTGAGGATCGTTGGTGATTCAGGAATTGGGGAGATTGGGGAAGGGGAGGGTAATTGGGCCTCCGATAACCTCACTCACACGACGATACACAACGCAAGCGTTGCTTCACGTCGGTTTTCTGTGAGGTCGTGGTATCGCTCCGGGCGAGCCGGCCCATTCGTGCCGAAGCATGGCTCTCCCACAATCTTAGGTATAATGTTATTCCCAAGTTAGATGACACTTAACAACAATGGTGAAAGGTTTACAACCATTTTGAAAGTGCTGTCAGATGTGTGATTAACGTTCTAGGTCATATTTTAGTCTAAATGCGATAAGTTTATTGCCAATCTTCGACCCACGTTTTAGACTTCATGCTATGTGGGTATAGTGCATGCTATACATGCTTTCTATGTATGTTTAATTGGTTTAATTGTGGGAGAGCTACGCTTCGGTACGAATGGGCCGGTTTGACCAGAGTGATACCATACCGTACCATACCGGCCGAGCAGAAAACCGACGTGAAACGACGCTTGTGTTATTTCATCGTGTGGTTGAGGTTACCGGAGGCCCAATTAACCCCCGCCGCAATCTCTGAATCTCTAATAAACTTCAAATTCCTAGTCCCCAAAAGGCAGATAAAACTCTTGTGACGCCTCTGGTGTGTCCATGGGCGACGCCGATTGCTTACCATCAGATGATGCGTCTGCACGTTTACCGACTTATCCAATAAAAAAATGTATTCTACGGATTTTGTAGTTGACATACTAATGACACTATGTGCAAACTAAACTTAACGCCTAAGTGTTACTGACAATCGTGAAGTCAACAATATAGGAGCACACACAAGTTACACTTACTTATTTTCTGTGATTTCCCTCCTATTTTCCTAGGTAACTCCCATTGCAGATGTATAGCATTCTTATGTGACGTCACTCTCAAACTCGGCGGTTCAGGAGTAGGCAGTACTAGCACCTCGTAAGACACTGAGTCAGAACCGTACAGGTTCTTCGCTAAGCAGGTGTAATTACCGCTTAGTGATTGGTCAATATCTGGAAAAAATATATATATTTTTTGTAGGAAGGAAGCATTTTATGATAAATTTATAAATACCAACGTAACTGTTATAGTATAATATTTTGGTTCCATCTGAGTAAATGGTTACTTACAACATAACATAACAGAATATCACGCCCTTTATCCCCGAAGGGGTAGGCAGAGGTGCACTTAATGTCACTGTACAATGTCACACCCACCGTTTCACTATTTATGTTATGAGTCCCATGTAACAAGAGGTGAGCCTATTGCCATATACTGGACACAATTTCAAACTCCGTACTATTTACTAGTGAGAATTTTTTTTCAAACTCAGTCGCACTCATAATGTACTACAGAATATTGTAAATACTGGAAGACCATGGAAAAATATTATTTTATCAGCCACAAGGCAACCATAGCTTTTTTTTTAATGGGACAAGCTCGCCGCAATCTCCCAAAACCGCTGCAACTCCTGTAAGCCAGGATCTACAGTAGATACAACCATGAAAACATCGGAACACTGAAGTCCGGCGCGTCTCAGGGACATGAATAACTGTCTTGGTTCCCGCAACGAAGTGAATCAGAAGATATTATAAAAAGAGAAGAAAAAAAAACTATAGTTTCCACTTCTCTCGGTGAATTACTGCGGGAGACAAATTAAATTAAGCCTAAAGGTACAAAGAAAAGAGACTCTACAAGTGGGTGAAAAGACAACCGCAGCTGCTAAATACAGGCCCTCCTCAATGATCTCCTGATCTGCCGGTTAGAAACGACCTGCGTCAAGCCATTTCATCTGTCCTTCATCAGGCCGTATGTTCATATTTGCGGACGATAAATTGTTTTGTCCGGAATAATAGGTTATTAATTAGCATAGTTTAAATGTATGTTGATGATTGATTCGTTGGCCAAGTGGTCTTATGTACGACTGTCGGGCAAGGGGTCTTGGGTTCAATAATTTCTGGCAAAGTATAGGTTTTTGAAAAAATTCAGTAGTAGTTCGAGATCTGGAATTGTGCCCGGTATATGGCAATAGGCCCACCCCCTATTACATGGGACGTATGACATGAATAGTGAAAAGTAGGTATTATATTGTATAGTGGTATTAAGTGCCGTAATGTGCACCTCTGCTCACCCCTTTGGGGCTAAAAGATGTTATGTTATACAGGGTGTCCCCGAAGTCGATGATCAAATATCACCAGGTGATCAACAAAGTTCCAAGAGATACATAAAATATAAAAGGAGGTCGTTACGTCATAACGTGCTACGAAATGTGACACGCGTCACATGATATTTCAAATTAATATATCGTCAAAAGTATTTAATTTTCTGCGAAAAAAAATACGTGTCTAAAGTTTTAAATTAATCTACCAGACGGACATTAAGCTGTCAAACACCAAGCGGTCACCGGTGACCGCAACCTATTGTTCTTTAATTATGTCTATAATGACGGTGCTCGACGAGTTGAAATAAAATTTAGGAAACTGCCCTATTCTAACATACCACTACCTACATTATTTATTAAATTCGACACAAAAAAAATATTTCAACGTATCTCTGAATGAACTATTTAATTGGACTTACTAAAATTTATTCTAGTCAGCCCAATGGGCACCTAAAAACCTTGTATCAACTAGGTAACACTTTACGCACGATATGACATCATCATCATAAGTCATTGTAATTTAAAAACGATTGTCGATCTTCTGGTGCCACTTGATCGTCGACGCCAGAGTCATCCTGTGTATTAATATGTAAAAAAAAGAACTTACTATTAATCAACAAGCTGTCGTCATGGTTCCTGGTGAACCTGGGATGGTGCGTGATGATGTTGTGTTTGTGGTACCACACCGTGCGCGGCGGGGGCGCGCCCACGCACTGGCACACCAGGAGCAGAGAACTGCCCACTCCTACTGACACTACTCCGCCTAGGGACGCTACTCCCGCCACCACTGGAAGTACAAACTGTTTCATTACGAGTACTTTGACGCCTAATTAGGTGCGCGCCCACGCACTGGCACACCAGGAGCAGAGAACTGCCCACTCCTACTGACACTACTCCGCCTAGGGACGCTACTCCCGCCACCACTGGAAGTACAAACTGTTTCATTACGAGTACTTTGACGCCTAATTAGGTGCGCGCCCACGCACTGGCACACCAGGAGCAGAGAACTGCCCACTCCTACTGACACTACTCCGCCTAGGGACGCTACTCCCGCCACCACTGGAAGTACAAACTGTTTCATTACGAGTACTTTGACGCCTAATTAGGTGCGCGCCCACGCACTGGCACACCAGGAGCAGAGAACTGCCCACTCCTACTGACACTACTCCGCCTAGGGACGCTACTCCCGCCACCACTGGAAGTACAAACTGTTTCATTACGAGTACTTTGACGCCTAATTAGGTGCGCGCCCACGCACTGGCACACCAGGAGCAGAGAACTGCCCACTCCTACTGACACTACTCCGCCTAGGGACGCTACTCCCGCCACCACTGGAAGTACAAACTGTTTCATTACGAGTACTTTGACGCCTAATTAGGTGCGCGCCCACGCACTGGCACACCAGGAGCAGAGAACTGCCCACTCCTACTGACACTACTCCGCCTAGGGACGCTACTCCCGCCACCACTGGAAGTACAAACTGTTTCATTACGAGTACTTTGACGCCTAATTAGGTGCGCGCCCACGCACTGGCACACCAGGAGCAGAGAACTGCCCACTCCTACTGACACTACTCCGCCTAGGGACGCTACTCCCGCCACCACTGGAAGTACAAACTGTTTCATTACGAGTACTTTGACGCCTAATTAGGTGCGCGCCCACGCACTGGCACACCAGGAGCAGAGAACTGCCCACTCCTACTGACACTACTCCGCCTAGGGACGCTACTCCCGCCACCACTGGAAGTACAAACTGTTTCATTACGAGTACTTTGACGCCTAATTAGGTGCGCGCCCACGCACTGGCACACCAGGAGCAGAGAACTGCCCACTCCTACTGACACTACTCCGCCTAGGGACGCTACTCCCGCCACCACTGGAAGTACAAACTGTTTCATTACGAGTACTTTGACGCCTAATTAGGTGCGCGCCCACGCACTGGCACACCAGGAGCAGAGAACTGCCCACTCCTACTGACACTACTCCGCCTAGGGACGCTACTCCCGCCACCACTGGAAGTACAAACTGTTTCATTACGAGTACTTTGACGCCTAATTAGGTGCGCGCCCACGCACTGGCACACCAGGAGCAGAGAAGGAGTCTAAGTTAACCATATGAATTAAATTTCAATTTCTGAACGCTCCGTCTAGTGTCAAACTTTTGACGTGTTTTCTGATTGGTCGACGGATGTTTGTTTTTATGCCGTCAGGTTGTCAGAATTGCAGGTCTTTTGGAATTTGTAAAATTTTGAATTAATAACTGCATAAGATAGTAAGATGTGTAGGTTTAAACGTTTTTAACACTTGCACTGATTAATTGTTACCACATAAATGTTGTCCAATTTGTTAATAATAGCTGCTTTTGCAGTTTTTATAATGTTTTTTTGGATTAATTAACAACAAAACACAGATCTTTAGTAGTTCACTTTGCAGTGTATTATTTACACAAGCACTTGAGTTTTCACTGAGATAACATTATCACTGTATATTTATGACTTATTAAGCGTCCTGATGTATTCTTCTATTAATTATGTTTGGAAATACTTAAGAATTTAATTAATCACTAACAAGCTATTGTTGACACTTTTAGGCAGTGTTGCCAACCTAATTTGGTCCTAATTTAATTTGGTCCTCCTTCAATATATCGCCAATCTGGTCGGTATATAACCATCTAGGGCGCCCTCTACCGACGGCCCCATTCAAATCCGCTCTGTAAACTTCTTTCGTAAATTTGCTTTCATCTATACCTTTCTACATATCCAAACCATCGCAACATTCCCTTTCCATTCCAACATCTAATCCTTGTCACTACATCATCTTTTAATCCACACCTTTCTCTAATACCAGTATTTTCTCATTTGATCATCATCACCGCATTATAGTAGTATTAAATAATCTTAAATAATAAATAGACTTACTATTAATCAACAAGCTGTCGTCATGGTTCCTGGTGAACCTGGGATGGTGCGTGATGATGTTGTGTTTGTGGTACCACACCGTGCGCGGCGGGGGCGCGCCCACGCACTGGCACACCAGGAGCAGAGAACTGCCCACTCCTACTGACACTACTCCGCCTAGGGACGCTACTCCCGCCACCACTGGAAGTACAAACTGTTTCATTACGAGTACTTTGTAATGTATAAAAAACGAAGAAGAAACACCTTTCGTTTTATTCTGTTTCTAGTTTATAATTATCTTTTTTATTAGTCCACAGAAGCAAGACGCTTCAAGGTTCAAAATCTCTTAGAGACAATTCAAACACCAAAATAAAAAAACTATTGAAAAACGCAGCCCCACACTAGTATTTTGTTCTGAGTCGTGGGTGCGGTTACAAACAAACAAGTTCACATACACGTGACACCTAGATTCGGAACAACAATTTGTGGATTACACAAAGAGTTGCTTGGTGCGGGAATCGAACCCGCGACACGTTGCGCGGCGACTGGCTGCCACGTGCCATATTCTCAGTTTATTATGTGAGTTACTCGTAATATTTTTGTAAAAGAACTTACCTTTAGAAGTCAATTCAATGTGAAGTCTATTGCTGGGCGTCCCCTCTCCGACAGCAGTGTGAGCTCTGACGAAGACTTCATACTGTCGGGCCGGGGCCAGCCCCGACACCGGGCACGTCAGCTGGCGGAGGTTTGTCTCTTGTGCAGCTTCCACTCGGTAGTTTTGTGGTGAGTTGGTGCTGGGAAATAAGAAAACCATTTTACAATTCATGCTACTACAGTAAAGTTTGCATATATCCTGTGTTCGTAATTATATTTCGTTTATTATTTCCTAAATATAATATTAATAGTCTCATTATCACCATTATAATATTCATAAAATCAGCTAAAAGACGGGCATGACTAATCTGAAACTTCCTTTAATGACTAGATTTGCGCCGTATTCACTTTTTTTGACGTGACAACGTCTTAAATTAGGTTGCGGCTGGGAGTCACTTATGAAAAAGTGTAACGCTCGGTAACGTTACGATGAGTCACCGAACGAGAGAGAGGCCCGCCGAATGCCTTGCGTCTCTCTCCCACTCAACTATGATCGGTCTGCCGCGCGCGCAGCACTAGAGAATTAGGCGCATTGAATCGGCACATGCTTGTGTCTTTGTCTTTCTCGAACGTTCTTGGCGTTGGAAAAACAAGAAAGCGTCATAATACAAGTTCACACGTGTGGTTAAAGTATCGTCAGCTGTGTCTGTAGTGAAAATGTGGAGTGCTTATATTCGTCATTTACAACAACTACAACAATAAAGGTAAATAATTGTACACTGATATTTCATTATCGTAAACTATGATTGATTGATTAATTGTTAGATTGACACAAAAGTTGAGAAACTGAGTTTATAGGTTATGTCATACTATTGATAAATGTTGATAGTGGTTGTCACGTAAAATCTTCGCTAGTAAAAACGACTTTACAGGCAACCATTTTTTTTACTATTTTTTATGTTTTTTAAATAGTGAAAAGTGGGTAATGCCTAATGGCAGAGGTGCACATTACATGTTATGTTATGCGTTTTCATATTTTTTTATATTTTGTAACGGTGCAAATATACTGTGTTTTCTTTTTTTCATTTGTGACCATTGTGGAGGGGCTTGCGATACATAAAAACTTCAGTAATAACTCTGACGATACAGATATATTCCATCAACAGGTGAGAATATCACACTAATATTAAAAATGTGAATGTTTCTTTGGTTGGACATTTGTCCGTCAATCACGCTGAAACTAACATAACATAATATCACGCCTTTTATCCCCGAAGGCGTAGGCAGAGGTGTACGTTACGGCATTTAATGGCACTGTAAAATGTAACATTCACTTTCCACTATTTAAGTTATGACTCCCATGGGGTGAGCCTGGGCACGATTCCAGACTCCGTACTACAACTGATAATTTTTTAAAAACCTAATAGTACTTTGCCCGATCCGGGAATCGAACCCGAGACCCTTTGCCCGACAGTCGAACCACTCGGTCAACGAGGCAGTCGCTGAAATTACTGAACGGATTTTCCGTAGAAATCCGTGGGCTGACTTAGGTGATAAGATACTTTTATCCTGATTATATGCTCCCATGGGATAAAACACAAGCGTACGGCGCGTCGCGTTCCGCGAGTCTCAAAGAGCCATCAGACCACCTCGCATGGGGCCCAACAGGGCTGATGCCGATTCGGAGTCGCGGAAAACCTAACGGGTAACCGGGGCTCCGACTCGTCGTGCAGGAGAAGGAACGGGGTGGTTTTTAGTCAGTAAGAGTCTGACACTCCTTCCCGCCTCACGCAGACTGGAGAAATTATTCGATGATTTTCCCCCCTTTGAAAAAAAAATGGGATCTACGCGGACGAAACGGGCAACAGTTAGTAAAATAATAACATAACATCACGCCTTTTATCCCCGAAGGGGTAGGCAGAGGTGCACATTATATGTAACAATACAATATAACACCCACTTTTCACTATTTATGTTATGAGTTCCATGTAATAGGGGATGAGCCTATTGCCATATATCGAGTACAATTCCAGACTCCGTTCTACTACTAAGATTTTTTTTAAAAACTCAGTAATAGTTTGCCCGACCCTGGAATTGAACCCGACACCCCTTGCCCGTCAGTCGCACTTGCGACCTCTTGGTCAACGGGGCAGTCAAAATATAATAATAATGATTTCTACATACCTCGACACTGGTTTCACATACACAGTGTAATGTGTAATGTCTCCATTGGCTTCCTCTGGTCTCTTCCAGCTGACGAGGAGTGACGTGGGTGATGACACCAAGACTTTTATGGCTGAAGGTGGACCGGGCACTGGAAAGATATTTTAGTGGTTTCTTTATTTTGTCTATTCAGAAAATTGCACGAATTCAATACTAGAAATGTAATACTTGTTGATTAAAAGCAATTACGGAATTATACAACATTCTTTTTAAAAAAATCTCAGTAGTAGCACGGAGTCTGGAATTGTGCCCGGTATATGGCAATAGGCTCACCCCCTATTACATGGGACTCATAACATAAATAGTGAAAAGTGGGTGTTACATTGTACAGTGGCATAATGTGCACCTCTGCCTACCCCTTCGGGGATAAAAGGCGTGATGATGTTATGTTACAACATTCTCTGTACACATTTTTGTTTGCAAAACGTATTGGGTTATTTTTCAGCTATATCACTATCAATACATAGTAAAAAACAAAGTCGCTTTCGCTGTATGTCCGTATGTATGCTTAGATCTTTAAAACTACGCAACGGATTTTGATGCGGTTTTTTTTAATAGGTAGAGTGATTCTTAAGGAAGGTTTGTATGTATATAGATATTGCACCCGTGCGAAGCCGGGGCGGGTCGCTATATAGTATAAAACAAAGTCGCTATCCGCCGTCTGTCCGTCCCTATATATGCTTAGATATTTACCTAAAACTACGCAACGGATTTTGATGCGGTTTTCTTTAATACTTAGAATGATTCTTAAGGAAGGTTTGTATGTATATACATATTGCACCCGTGCGAAGCCATGGCGGGTCGCTAGTATAGTATAAATCAGAGTCGCTATCCGCCGTCTGTCTGTCCCTATGTATGCTTAGATCTTTAAAACTACGCAACGAATTTTGATGCGGTTTTCTTTAATACTTAGAATGATTCTTAAGGAAGGTTTATATGTATAATACATGCATATTGCACTCGTGCGAAGCCGGGGCGGGTCGCTAGTATACCTCTATAGAATGTATGGCGCTATAGTAATGTTTTATGTAAGAACAGAATGTATTTAGTAAACCAATACTAGTACAGTAACTCCAAAGATGTAAACTTATCAACAATGTATACAATTAATACAATAATTTTACATGCCGCAAGGAAAAATGTACCGGGACATCCATACATAATAAGTTATAAAACAACATATTTGTTACTTACATTTTTGGCAAATAAACTATTTCTGATTTCCAAATAACGACAATACCCTGAGAGTAATACCAATACCCAGAGTTTATTTCACTTAACTAAATTACCAAAAGATTACTTTAACCCCCGGGCCCTCCCTTCTTTTGAAGTCGGTTAATTAACAAAGTGCAGTAATGATACATATTAATATAGAAACGATGGAGTTTCTTCCTTGTTCTTCTTCATTCGAAACTACACTTTGGAACGAGTTCTATCTTCACTGACAGACAGACGGACGGACTATTGCTACTATTGGAAAATTGCCTAATTAATGATTAATTGTAATAAATGCTTTGACTTTAACTTTGATACTAAAACCTTTTCCTAAATGTAAGAAACAATTTGCTGAAAACCGCACCAAAATTGGTCCACCCATTTGCGAGATAATCGCGCACAAACATACATACATACAGGTCATATCAGATCAAACTGTTTGACCTGATATGACCTCCTTCTGTTTTGAAGTCGGTTAAATAGTACTTGAAGTCACTTACCATCTTGCAACGTAGTACAAATAATAGGGTAGGAAAATGGTCCCAGTCCATAGTTTGAGAAGCCAGCTACTTTCACTGTATAGTTCGTGTACTTTAGTAAAGCTTGAAGATACAATTCTGTGTGGGACGAGCTTATGTTCTGCCATGGTCCATCTGAAAATAAGAATAAAACATTTCAGTAAAGGAAACAAAGCTTTACACCCAACAGACAAGGTTTATTTTGCTTTAGTTCTGTGACTCATTTTGTTATTGTGTGGTTAACTGTGAAGCAGTAATGCTAGCCAAGGAGGCGGCACGTGTGAGGCACACCGCGCGGCCGCGGCCCGGGGGACGTACTGCATGGGGGGCTCGTCGGCAGACCAGAACCAGACCCGAGCGGACAGCGCCGAACGAGGGGTCTCGGTTTCGATTCCCGGTTCGGGCAAAGTATTACTGAGTTTATAGAAACATACTAAATATTAGAACGGATTCTGGAATTTTACCCGGTATATGGCAATAGACTCACCCCCTATTACATGGGACTAGTAACATAAATAGTGAAAATTGGGTGTTATATTGCACAGTGGTTTTAAGTGCCGTTATATGCCTCTGTCTACCCTTTAGGGGATAAAAGGCGTGATGTTATAAATGTGACAGAACGAAGATCATAGAAACTCTGTATACATTCGAGAATGAATTATTCTATTCGATTTATTGAACAAATAAAAAAAAGCAAAATATAACAATGATTGCCAAATAATATTGAAGATAATAATTATAATTCTTTACGTAACTTACCTTCAGTACTATAATACGCTGAGTATCCAAGAAGCGATGCTCCATGAGCTGTGATTGGCTGCCACGCAATCCTCAAGGACGATGAAGATACTCCTCTACACTCTACTCCTGATGGTGGTAGTTCTGGAGCTGGAAATTTAAGAAAAAAATATTGTTATTTAGTAATATTGATAACGTATCTTCTGTAATTTATATTATACCTATATATACGGCTTTATGTATGTATTTACAGTTATGCATAATCATAAATTTATTTATATAGATTTTTCTGTGTCACATAAACCATTATACCTATTACACCTACTGTTGCACATCTCTGCATCACCCCATGGTTGACTGTTAGAGAATGCCACCCGGCATTAAGTCCGCCATCGTATGATTATTAAACAGAAGTGTTAATAAATAAATAAATAAATAAAGGTTTTAATTAACGCTCACTAAATAAAAACAAACAAAAGAGTTCACTTGCACGAAGCGCTTCGCATCAAGCTTCCTTGTGCATACTGCTAAGGAATGGAATACTAGTGGAATTCTTTGCCAGAGGCTGCGTTTCCTAAAGGGTCTGGGAGTCTTCAAGGCCCGAGTGAATAGGTTGCTTATGGGACGACGTGCTCCATCGTAGACCGCATCATCGCATTACCAGACGAGATACTGGTCAAACGTAGGCCCATCAAATCAAATATAAAAAATAAAAAGGGAACCTCACCTCCTTCTCTCGTTGTCTGGTAAACAGGTAATGAGAAGGGACCATTGCCAGCTGAATTAAAAGCACTCACTGATACCGCATACCTGAAAAACAAAGTGTTACATTTGTATTAAATTGGAAATTAGTGCATCGTTTGATGAAGCAAAGAAATTGACCACAACACAGTACAGAAATACACTAAATTAGACAACAGTAAGGTTTAAACTGTAAAGATTTCTAG